TTTAGAGACTTTAGAATTCTAGACTATGCACCTACATGTAGTGTACGGTTATTAAGAGCATCTTGTTGCCAGAAGTATATGTAAGTACAGAAGAACCATCCATCTTTGCCCTTTTTGTCCAAGTACCGAAAAAGCTCAAACATATTTTCCAGTCTGATAAGAATACTGTGAACAAAGATTTTAGTACCTTATATATAAAGAAAATAGCAAGTCTGTTTATTGTTGCTCAGAGTAATTTATATTTTATAGGAATCATAGACTATTAGAACTAGAAAGGGATGTTAAAATTGTCAGGTCCAACAAGCACTCTCATTGTACAAGTGAGAGAACAGGACAGTCAGGCAAAGTGACTTACCCAAGGTCAATAACAAAGATAACAGGCTTTCTTAACTCTGTGTGCTTTCCCTTATATGTTCATTAGTGTTCTAATGAACATTCTTACGGTGTAGCTAATTATTCCTTGGATATCAAAGACCAACATTTATAGAATGAAATAAGTAAAAAGTTAATGTTTACTTATAATAACAAATAGTGAATAGCAGAAAAAATGATGTGTGCCCTTAATTTTACATTAGGGATTAGTTTATTAAGGATATAAACACCATTGTTTTATTAAAGCAGAGGTCTTTTAAATGGGACTTTTGATATGCTAAATCCCTAACATGGGATTTAATTCTGAAATAAAAGATTTTTCTTACACTACAGCTCAGTGTATAATAAAATCTAGAAGTGATACAGCTCATTTTGTGTAAGCATTTTTTAATGTATCAGTGTATGAATATATGAATAATAATTTCTTCTAGAACTGATACCATCCAGTTAAGATTCAGCACTCACAGAAAATACTCCATGGTGTTCATCTCCGTACCTACGTGGCTATACCTTCCATCAGTTAAAAAAAAATTCTACACACTTCAGTTATATTTATTTATATGTGATAATGTATAAACTATTATGCTGATAAATTGCAAACATTAAAAGCTTACCTAAAACATACACTTCTTAAAAGAATATCAAAAATAAATACGTATTTTTTTTCTTTCTATACCCAGTGGATCATTTTGTACACATCTTTGCTTTGGAAATCACAGGGTGTGGGGATATTAGTAATGATCGTCATTTACCTAACATAATGGTGTTCTAGCCTGTTGTTACTGAGTGTTAAAACAATATAAACTGAATGAATCCTGATATCTATATTCTTAACAGGCTGTTAGTTAATACAGCGTTAGTTAATACATTGTTAGTGCAATGTATCAAAAGTACTTTCATGAAGGTCTTTGGAATGAAAACTTTAAGAAGCTCTGTAAAAATGTAGTAACAAGTTAGCCAACATTTATTTAGCATCTGCAAGTGAGAGACAATATCCATCTACTAGGAAGGAGCTTATATTATAGTTAGAAGACATTTTATTTAGATGTGTATATAAGTACTATATGTACCTGTAAAGATAACTGATAATTCAAGAGGGAGTATAAGGAATGTTGTATATACTTTATGTCACAGAGAAAAGAAACATTTGTGGAAAGAAGCAATCACTTTAAGCCTGAGGAAGTCAGCAAGGACTTTAAGGAGGAGTTGCTATTTTATTTTATTTTATTTTATTTTATTTTATTTTATTTTATTTTATTTTGGTCTGAGCCTTATAATTTGATAGGCAGAAAGCATGGAAAATATTTCAAAGACAATGAGTTGATTCATTTTATTGAAACAGATGGTTTTTATGAAGGAACTTAATAGAAGGAAAGCTAAAGAAGTAAGATTGTTTTGAGGAGGAAATTGTTCTTACCCAGGCTAAGCAAAATGCACATTTTCTGTGTGTCATATGGAACTGCTGAGCAGAAGTGTGATGTGATCAAAGTGGTAGTTTCAGAAGATCTGTTGGCAATATAGAATATATTTTGATGGAGAGACAAAATGGAGTTAGGCTAATTGACAAGCTATTACACCATTTCTAGTAAGAGTTAACATTTTGACTGCCAGGCACTGTTCTAAGTACTCCTCAAATGTTAAATTCTATGAGGTAATTACATTTATTATCCCCCATTTTACAGATGAGGAAACCGAGGCACAGAGCAGTTTCGCCCCACCTTCACCCCACACCCTGAGGTTACACGGCTGATAACCCAGAAGTCTATCCTCTAGCTGCTGCCATAGATAATTGGGAGCTAAGTTAGAGTTCTGGCTCTGAATAGAAATGAGGGACAAGTCCACGAACGATGGAAAAGCAGCAGGGGTAGAACTGAGCTGACTGGGTATGTGGGGCAGGAGGCAAGTGTCAGAGATGGGCCAAACAAATTCAGAAATAGGGAGTGATGGAAATCAAAACAGAGAAATCAAAATCAAATGACCCACCAATCTTACTAATGGGAATTTATCCTAAGGGTATAATCATAGAGAAAGAAAAAGAACAAAATTATTTTTTAAAGCTGCAAGAATACTGATTACCATGTTTAACAGGAAGGGCAAATAAGAAAGACTTGAAGGCTATTACCAAAGTCTTGGTTAACTTTTGTTTATTTCTGTTTGCTTTTTGTCTGTAATGTTTGTTTATTTTTTGGAGAGAGCACAAGCGGGGAAGGGGCAGAGAGCAGGGGACAGAGGATCCAAAGTAGGTTCTGTGCTGTCAGCAGAGAGCCCGATGAGGGACTTGAAACCTGAGCCAAAGTCAGATGCATAACTGACTGAGCCACCCAGGCGCCCCTGTTTATTTCTATTGGCTATCTAGCGAAACTTTCTTAAAAGCTTGTTAGTATTTTCTAGATTTTCTTCCGTAAATATGTATTACTTCTGTAATAAGTTACTTATTTTAAAAGGAAAATGCTAGCTTGGGGAAAAGATTTTTTAAGCTTTAGTCATTCATTCACTCATTCATTTATTCCTCAAATATCTATCATAGTGCTTAAAATATGCTGAGCACAATGTGCCAAGACTTGATCCTACCTAGATGTTCGATTTCTTACTGTTGAATACTGAGAGTTCTCTTTTTTTTTTAATGTTTGTTTATTTTTTTAGAGAGACAGTGAGAGTGGGGGAGGGGCAGAGAGAGAGACAGACACACAGAATCTGAAGCAGGTTCCAGGCTCTGAGCTGTCAGCACAGAGCCAGACACGGGGCTCAAACTCATGAACCATGAGATCATGACCTGAGCCAAAGTCGGATGCTTAACCCACTGAGCCACCCAGGTGCTCTTTTTTTTTTTTTTT